AAAATTATAATACCAATGCTTATGTCTAATAACAACAAGTATGAATATATCATTAATATATAACTACAATAATATATAATGTGTGTGGATGTATACACTAATATATATCTATATACACACACACATATAAATAATATATGTATAAAATAGTTATACAATATACGAATATAACTTAAAATCAGGGCCGACCCTGGCTACGTGTAGGCCGTGTTGCCACACAGGACATCAAAGCTTAAAGGGGCATCAAGTTGTCATTTATTACTAGTTTTAGGTTTAATAATTTGAGAATTAGACAACTGAGATTTAACTATAAAAAACATATCCAATGCCTAGTAGTGATGAATACTGAATGCACATCGTGAACTAGTTAACGCTAACATTCCAACAACTCAATCTAATAATTTATATTGTTCTTCAAAGTTCGACTATTTCGATTTTCAAGGCATGAAAATCTCTTTCGACAATTAATGAATGAAATACGGTGTAAAACAATCAAGGTATCTATAAGTGATTAACTTGCGTATATTAATTGATAATCGTTTGTTATTACGAAATGTTTGAGATCTGTCGATAATAGTTTTGTTTTTATGCTATTTAGAACTCAAAAGACGTGTCCCGGATTAGGAACCCTTACAACAAGCTATTATGAAAATTGGTTATGTACAATTTTTTTGGCATTTTTTTTAGAAATTTCCACTCCTTAAATTCATAGCAATTTGGCCTCTCAAATCTGTTAACTTAGAAATAAAATGTCAGAAACGGATCTGATTGTTCTTCTTTGTACATTCAAGATTTTATTATTATTGCCTTACTTTTTTGAAAAGGAACACCTTTGCCCCCACTGTTATGTTAATTAAACCATAGAAATTCCCACTACACGCTTGACTTTCAACGATTCACACGTGCACACATTTACACCTTTAGCAAAACACAGATTCAGGAATAAAAGGAGGTAAAGGCTTTTATATAAACCCTAATTTCCAGGTTAAACCAACCCTCTACTTTAACCAAATTACTCCAAAACCCCTGGTTTTCCAAACTTAACTAACCATGCTTATTAAAGGAAAATAATAATAATAATAATAAATCCAAAAATCTCCATTATATTTATTTCAAAAAGTCTATCCAAATAACCAATGGAACAAAAGACTCCTGTTCGTTCGTGGGCATTTCATTTTTTTCTTAAAAATAAAAATAAAAATAAAAATAAAAATAAAAATAAAAATAAAAATAAAAATAAAAATAAAAATAAAAATAAAAATAAAAATAAAAATAAAAGTAAAAGTAAAAATAAAAATAAAAATAAAAATAAAAATAAAAATAGATGTATCATACCATTGATATGAGTTTGGGTTTCAATAAAAATAAAAGTTATGATAAAAAGGGTAAAAAAAATTCATTCTTAAATCAATCATAATTAAAGATTAAAAGTAATAAGATGCATCAGATCAATCCATATAATTTATGGGATAGGACGGGACTAAAAGTGATCAAAAAATTATCTAAATCTTCAAACTCTATCTAATTCATTGGATGGTCAAGTCTTTAAAAGACTTGATCTATTTGAAACATCATATTTCCGTTAAAGAAAAATAATCTTTAAATACTTACATTACAACAAAATTGGGTTTATAAGACACCTCAATTTCTAAGCGTCCCAATAAACCGTTTTATAGGACCAAAATATAAAGCGTCATATCTAAAGATGTTGTAATAAGTTTATATGACGCTTTTGGGCGTCTTAACAAGTTTTTTAACATATTTTTAATACAAAATGTCGCATTAGCAACTTTATAGGATATTTTTGAGAAAATGTCCTGTAAACTCAATTTTTTATAGAATATTTGTTTTTATAGGACAGTTTTTCAAATAGTGTCCTATAAAGTTGATAATGAGACGTTTTATATTAAAGGTGTTATAAAAAACTTATTACGATGTCAGAAAACATCATATAAACTTATTACAACACATTTAGATAGGACACTTTATTTTTTTGTTCTTATAAACTAAGTCATATAAAGAGGTCTATTAAATTACTTAGAATTTGGGAGTCTCCTATAAACCCTATTTTGTTGTAGTGTTACTCCAATAGAAGAATCAATGTATTATTCCCCACGTGCAGACCCTAGAAGAAGAGGAGTACTCGACGATTTGTCAAGTCGCTGGCAATTTCTATAACGTTGTAATAGAAATTGATGATCTTGTAATAAAGTAATTTTAAAAGTACTATGTTGTAATAAAAAATGTCATGTCAGCACTGTCGTACAAGTGGATAGCCTACGTGGACGATGAGGTGACAAAGAAACCTGGTATAATGGGTAAATTTAATTTAAAAGGTAACCCAATGCTATAACTGATAAATTTTTGAAAGTACATTATTATAATAATAATAATAAAACAACTGAAAGTAAAATAATATAATAACGAAATTTATAAAAATAGGTTACTAATTTACGTATTTTTACCCTTAATTTTTCGTGAAAATAAACATATGGAAACATGAAAAAGTTAAATAATTAATTAGTGAGGGTAGAAGAAGAAAACAGTAGGTCTTATTTAATTCTTTTTCTTCATTGGCAGGGCAGAAGCTTCCCCTGACCCTCTTATGGCGTTTACGTCGTCTTCCGGCCCTCCACTGTATACATGGATTCCTCTACAAATACTGCCCTCACTAAACCTTCTTGTTCATCCTTCCCTTCCTCTCCTCTCCCATTTCTACTCCAAACCCACATATCCAGATCACCATCAACTTCATATATAGACATGGCCAAGGTACAAACCTCTTCACTCCTTCAATTCCATTTTTATTTGAATCAGGTGGCTCTAATTTGTATAATTGATTGTTTTTGCAGCAAAATATTGTCGTGAAGGTGTCCATGAACAACGACAAGAAAACTCGTAAGGCTCTCAAGATCGCCGTTGGTGTCTCCGGTAAGACATTCGAAGCTCCTCTCCAGTTTGCCCTAATTTTTATATCACGGAGAAAGCGTTTGTTTGGTTGTAACTAAATCATGATCTGAAATGAATTGACAAACAGGCGTGGAATCGGTGGCTTTGTTTGGTTCAGATAAAGATCAAATCAAGGTCACGGGTGAAGGAATTGATTCGGTCGAACTGGCGATGCTGCTAAGGAAAGGTGTAGGATGCACAGACCTGGTGAGTGTTGGTCAGGTGGAGGAGAAGAAACCCGCTACCACCACCAGTACCACTGCTGCCGCCAGTCAAACTCCAGCTACGGTGGTGCCGCTGCAAGTTTATCCTCACTATTATAGCTGCTATGGAGGGCCGTACCACCATTTCTAATGGAAGTCCCAGCAACGAAGATCCCTCTTGCACCATTTTGTAAGATTGCATCAACCGAGACAGAGTGAATTGAGAGAAATCAATTCAGATTAAAACAAGTTTTAATTTTAAATTTGCTTCATTTCTTCCCCCCTTCTCTCTTCTTTTACTTGGGATATTTAACTATCATCATTATTACTGGTGCCACTATATTGTTTGTGAAATTCGAACTTATTGACTTATATCGGTGTGGTATCGATAATAAGCATTTTTTAGTGTTTGAATAAACATTTGTATAGAAAAGCACAAGTTGTTTCAAATAAACAATCCCAAACATCCCCTAAAAAACTAAAAACATGTAAAAACATACAATATTCCAATATCATTGGATTCTATTTCCTAACAAACACTACAACAAAATCGAGTTTATAGGACACTCCCAATTTCTAATCGTCTTAATAGACCTCTTTATAAGACTTAATTTATAGGAACAAAAAAACAAAGTGTTCTATCTAAAGGCGTTGTAATAAGTTTATATAACGTTTTTTGATGTCGTAATAAGTTTCTTAGGACAATTTTAATATAAGCGTTCCATTAGCAAATTTATAGGACACTATTTGAAAAACTGTCTTATAAAAACAAATGTCCTATAAAAAATTGAGTTTATAGGACAATTTCTCTAAAGTGTTATGTAAAGTTGCTAATGCGACACTTTATATTAAAAATGTCCAAAAAAAACTTGTTAAAACGTCCAAAAGCATCGTATAAACTTATTACTACATCTTTAGATAAGACACTTTATAAAATTAAGTTCTATAAAACGGTCTATTGGGACACTTAGAGATTGAGGGTGTCTTATAAATCTAATTTTGTTGTAGTGAAAAATTGCTTTTTAAATGCAAGACTCACAATTTTATACAAAAAACACTACAATTCATGCATACGAAAGTAACGTGTTACCCCTACAATACATTCTTGTACAACGCTTAAGGTTCTCAACTGGGTAACAGGAAAATACCTTCATGTCACAACTCAAATTTCAGCTAAGGGATACGACTTCTTAGTAAAGGTGCAACCAATACTAAACAAATACTAAGATTCTCTACCTTCGTTTCAAAATAAATATCAACAGCTAAAAGATGTATAGTTTTAGATGTAATTAATTAGATGACAACTTTGTCCTTAATAATAGAAAAAAGTAATGAATTTCTCCATCTCATAATTAAGAGTAGAATTAGAAAGTAGACATCTGATTACTTTTGAAAAGAGGGGCGTTATTTTTGCTCAAAGAAAAACAAAAATATGGACAGTTATCTTGGAAAGGTCACTTTGAGACCCAACGTTGTTTTTCATCGAAGTACATTTGTGGTTTTCTTTTAACCTGGATATCCAATCTGCTAAGCGAGCCGACTAATTCCACGACGACCACATGTTTTTGCAGATAGCCCGGAGTCACCGCATTTAAACCTCCGTAGCCATAAGGGGATTTTGTTTTTCCACCTTGGATATCATTGATAGATACACATTCGAAATCATGTAACCATGACAAGTGATCATGTCAAATCGCTTTCATGCCCAAAATATATAATTCCTTGCATGCATGCAAGATAGATACACAATATAAACTTAGGTTACTTATATTGAAAATGATGTTTTTGTACGTTAATAATGAAAATATCGTTGAGATGTTTAGACGATGAGAACTTGTGTTCATAACTTATATAAATTCATTTTTTGATGGATCACTTTATTAATATAATATCGTCTTATATTAATATTTATTCATTTTATTAATCGTATTTTAATAATTGCATTTAAGAAGAGCACTTTGATTGAAAATTCCGCATCTTTGCCCCTATGATAATCTCATGTGCTTTGATAATCTGACAAGCAACATAAAATTGTTTTGTGGTGGGTTTTGGCTTGTTTTTTGTGCGTCGATGCATATCCTTATGGTGCCGCAAGCAGTCGTATCTCTATTTGTTTTTGTGGTGGACCCACTTTCATATGAGTGAGTCTGAAAATGTCAAAAATTTTAAGGAAAAATGTCTTATGACGTTCACTTAAGGTTTTTTTGACTATTGTGTAAATAAGGTTTTTTTGACTATTGTGTAAAAAAAATTTGGAGGTGACTAAAAACAATTTTTGTAGTATTTACTTAAAAATATTATAAAATTAAGGGATAGGAGGTGTAAGATTGTGAAACTCCTCCTTCCTTTATCCCATTCATCCCTATTTAGGAGTGTTTATAAAAACAATTTATTAACTTATTCTAGTGTGATACTGGTAATAAGCACTTTTGAGTGTTTGGATAAACAACTTATACCGATACCAAAACCAGTAATAAGAAGTTTTTAAATAAGTTAAACATTTCTGACTTATAATAAGTTGATAAGTGTTTTTGTAAAAAAATATAAGTTGTTTCAAATAAGCAATCCCAAACACCCCTTAATATTTAAATATGTTCCTAAAACGGAATACATCATATAAAGGAAACACAATGTTACAAAATATAATCAAATCTAGAGAACGGAACAGAAGATTGGTGGGTGCTTAGACCGGATCTGATGTTAAGAAATAGTAGTACGTACAGAAAGTTCTTTTGTGAAAATATCAGCGGATTAAAATGATGTTAAGAAATAGTAGTACGTAACGTCAAGAAGGAGATTATAATATATTGATCCATATGCATGCATGTGATGATAAAATCCTTAAGCACATCCAATATCCAATATCCAATATTCTAATATATAGATCCATATGCATTTGAATTTAACCTATATATGCTACATGTTGCCTCATGCAACATGCTATGTGTTCACATGTAAAATAAATTACTTTCTAGTATATTTTTTTTTAATTAAAATTTGTTTTTATAATAATAATAAAAATAAAGCATTTGTTTATTGCTTTTATCATGTTTGTTGAAACTTTTTTTCAAAACGTCGTTAATATGTAGAACGCAAGTCTGAATATATATATATGGAGATGTTCAATCACATTATAACCAATAGAAGAAATGAAAATTAGTGGTTTCATATCAATTTTTTAAGATGAAGCTGTTATAAATAAATTTTTGCAATTAATCAAATGAACCGATATAATTAATTATTATTTTATATAAAGTTACGTAAAATAACAAAATAGAATACAAATATCAATTTATAGCTTTTATGTTTGATTATTATTAATTAATCATCAAAATACAAATTTAAGTTTGGATATATTATTCAATTTTCCGATGACAAATTGTTATGATACTACACATCGGATTGGATCAAAACAAAAACTGTCTTAAATATATCATTTTTCTCCTAGGTTGTTTGCCGATCCTTACATACCATGTGTAGACTTGCTTTCTTTAATTACATATCAATTAATATATGTATTCCCTCGACTTCCTACAATCTTGCCATTTTTATATCATTCATTCCTTGCTCGTTGTCTGCATGATTATTTTCCTAAATATTTTAAACGATACGATATTTGAACCTACCTAGATTCGTTCGGTTTATTTTAAGGATTGCAGATTTTATTTGATGATTCTAAATTTAAATATTGGATTTACTCATTTCTTAATAGCTGTTAAAATGGATATCGTTTTAGAAAGAAAAAAAAAATCCAGAATTTTACCCAATATCAATTAATCTAGTCGATCAGATAGCTTAACTGATAATACATCCATGGTTACCAAATTGATTCTATGATCATTTATAACAATAAATCAAACGAAGCATGAATGTTACTCCACATGGCTTCTCTCACCCATATCTTACTCGCCTCAATAATTCATTATGTATAGTTTATTACGCAATGGCGGAAGTTTTTGTTTCAACGGCGTCTAATATAAATACTGTGACTATTTATCATCATTCTCCACCACCTGCGCACCTTCTCCAAGTTCAAATGGCCAAGGTACACATATCCATCCCATTCCATTTGCGTTTTCTTTTAATTGAGTTATCATCGATCAGTTGGCTTCAATTCAATTCAATTCAATTTTTCAATTTTGCAGCAAAAGATTGTAGTGAAGGTGAGCATGAACAACAGCAAGAGAACTCGTAAGGCTTTGCAGATCGCTGTCGGTGTCTCCGGTGTGGAATCAGCGTCTTTGATGGGGGGTTCAGAAATAACGGTGACCGGTGATGGAATTGACTCGGTCCGACTCGTGATGTTGTTAAGGAAATCTGTGGGATACACAGAGCTGGTTAGTGTTGGTCCCGTGGAGGACAAAACTCCAGCTGCTACTGCTACTGCCACCGCCATCGACGATGCCACTGGTCAACAGGAAGAGAAGATGGTGGCAATGCCGTGGGATGATTGTCCGCATGACCATTTTATCAGCTATGGGACACCGTATCATGTTCATGTATATGAAAGCACCTACAACCATCCCTCATGCACCATTATGTGAGATTAATTGCATCCTATGAAAAACATAAATCAAAACATAGGTTTGATTTTATATTGCTATATATATATATATATATATATCAGGAGAGAGAGATGATTTTCAACTCATTTAAAATATTATATAATTTATTTTATTTTTAATATATTTTATTCTTAATAAGTATATTTAGTATTTTTATTTTTTATTTTGTTTATTCTTAAATTAAAAATTGTACCCGTGATGAAAAGTTCAAATTTCAATTGTCTTCATTATTTTTAATCATTATGAAACCTTATGAAAACTTTTTTGTCCATTACTCTATTATCCCCTCCAAAGTCTAATCCAACTCTTCAAGTATGTTGTCGGCCTCTCGCCCTCTTGATCTCGGCTCTCTCTCCGTGCAACGTTTTTTCTTCCTCTCGCTCTCTCTCTCTCTCCGTCCAACATTTGTCTAATTGTCTCCCTCTTGGTTTTCTCTCCGTCCAGGCGTCCAACATTAATGGAAGTCGAGTTACTTAGAATTTAAAATTTAGGTAACAAGAGGAAAGTAATACCAAGAGTGAACTTGGGGTGGTGAAAGCGGAAATCGAGTTACTTAAAATTTAAAATTTTATGTTTATCTATAATT